AAAAGTAGTTTACCTTTATAACTTCTATACTACATGCATTATGCAGAGGATAAAAAAAAAACTATAAAAGGGGTGCAAGAAAATTAGATTATGGTATTTGTAGAAGAGTGATCATGTGATCACTTACATCATCATCATCTGACATATATGGTAATGTCATGTCAGATAATCTGCTAATAGCTCCCTGTCTTATGGGGCTTCTTGCAATGATGTCCGTTACATCTCTCAACTGAGTTCTCAACTTTTCTTCTCTTCCTTTAACATCATCATACTGAAATAACAAACCAAGGAAGATCTGTTGGAATATGATTTAATGGAAAATCATTTTCAAATTGTTTTTTTTTTTCTTCAAATTTTAAATCTATAATAGTTGTGTTACATAGTGTACTAGATTCTTTGTCAGAGAACCAAAATGTATAGAAATAAAATGCCAGGAGGTAAGGAGTGGAAATGTCATGAAATATGACCAAGTTGGCAAAATAGCCACTGGTTTCTATGGTGACATTATTTTTATATCTCAAATTATTGTTTCCCTGACTTATAGGATCTAAAATTCATCTATTCTTATTAATAAGTATCCTAATTTTATTATTGACGTATATTGATAACATTATATACGATGGGAAGTTAAGTTTTCTACCCATAATGCATTGTTGCATATATTTGCAGTAACATGCTCATGAAATTTGAATTAAGCTCAAACTGCCTTTGAATGATTTCTTGTCTTGTTTATTACTTCTGACTATATTATAAATAATATTCATATGATACTTATCAGATAGATATTTATCCCAAACCATGTCAAATTTCAATACATATTTTCTCTCACCTCTAAAATATATTCAGAAAATCTTCAACTGAATTGGAAATATTATTTGAAACTCACCAAATATTTTAGGAGAATCCCTTACATAAAAATATATTTATCAATTTATGGTGTTTTTAAAATCATCCTAAATAAATTCAGTCTTATTTGTTATCAATTTGAATATTTCTAAAATCATGCACAATCAGGCATGAATTTGTTTTGTGAAATATTTCAAAATAAAATAAAATTTATTTAAAAAAGGAAAATTCCAACAATGGATTATTTTGTTATATATTATAAAACTAACATAATTGATCTATCCTAGGATGAAATTATTTCTCATATTTTCTGGATAAAAATATTTTTCAAATAGTGGTTGGCTACCTCTGCATTAAGTTCCCATAAATCCTTACTGGGACTTTTGTTCATGGGACTGTTACGATGTAGAATTTTTTTCACTGATGCAGCTTTTCTTTGTTCGGCTCGTTCTTTTGCTTTCAAGTCTTCTAAAAATATTTTTTCCTTTGTGTCCATAAGGTTTCGCTGCTGCCTCTGCCACAGTTTCATCTTTTGGAGTTCACTGACCTTTTAGTGAGGAGAAGGTCAGGTGACAAGGTCAGGTGATTTGATTTCTCAATTAAAATAAGTACAGAAATATAAAGATAAAAGAACACAACAGACAAAATATCATGTGTCATGAGAAATTTGTTGAAAAATTGAAATTCATATAATTTTCATAAATCTGCTCTATAATACATACATGCCTAATATGAAATGCATTTACATCATATACCACAATGCATTGCAGGCATCACAATCACATGACTTTCAACCAATCAATACGGCTCAATCATGAATGAATACCATAACCATGAGATGCAGTTAGAAACCACCATATATATTAGTTATGCTATTAGGATTACTTTGTAAATATAAATAAGTTAGGAATTTGTTGTTTATTATATTTAGTAAAAATATATCCGCAAACCAAATGAAAAGATGGAGATGAAACGTTAACAGTTAACTTTATATGTTGACAGCCTACCTGCTCATAACCTGCTGGGTGCATGGATCGTTGCTATGGAGATGGGAAGAAAACACCACATCAAATACAAAATAGATATTTAATCACATGCATTATATTTATAAATAATATCAAGTGTAATTTTATGTTAACATAAAAGATGATACATATGACACTGTTTATTAGTAAAAAAAAATAAGCAGCCATTCAACTCCACTGTTTGTAATGCATGGTGTGAATGCAGTACCACTAGGGGCCACTGTAGTTAGTTGGTGTTCATTGTTGTTGCCCCCTGAGAATCTACATCCTTAAACACTGCAATCTTTGTTTTTGAAGTGTCTTATTAAATTAGTATTATAAAAGCTCTATCAATCTGTTCTAATAGCTGAAACAAATTCCTGTGAATTTTCATTTGTCAAATGAACTGTTTGTCAAAAATAGAATACATATTTTTTAGTACAATTTTCTTTTCCAAAGTGGATGCAACGTTTTGCTTTTTATGTATTTTTTTTTATATTGTTTTTGATTTGATAACTTTAGACTAAACAGATTTTTTATTAGCTTCAGAACTTGATCAAAGTTTGGCACCCAATTCATAGGAGTGCTTATATTGATTTTCTGACATCTTGTTTTCTGTAAAGATTTTATTGGTAGGTTTGCAAATGTGTATCAAACTGTGCAAAAACTAGCAATGCCGGACAGAAATTTTTCCCTTAATATATCTTTCCCTTCCATCTTTGTTTTTTAATGTGAAAAACATACTGAAAACCATTAAATTGTAAACACATTAAAATGGTTAATGATACTGAGTAATGTGATTGTACTTTGTTATCAGCCTTCCTGTTCAGTTCTAAATGTATTTTTCATATGTATACAATGGTCAGGAAAGACTATAAATTTCTGAAAGCAATAAATGAGTAAAAAGGTTACACAGGCACTTTAAAATTCCCATTCAGTATTCAATAGCAGGGATAAGTTAAAAAAAAAACCTCCAAATACAAACCATCTCTAACTGAAAATTGCCTGGATTACTTGATAATATACAGCATATACTTTGTCGTGAGTACACTTCAGTTAAATAGTATTTTGATGTTCATAGATGTCTGTCTTTTACCTCCATGTTTTAGGTGATTAAGTTGTAGTCAATAATTACTAAATGTTTATACATTAATAGGAAAGAGAAACAGATGTTTACACCTGTATATCCAGTCATGCAATGGTATAGATGCATATTAACAAATAATTTTGATTTACAAATAAATTGATTTGTGAATCCAATTATCATGTGTCAGCTTACTTAAATAATTAAGTTTACTAAGCCGAAAATAATTACTTTAAAATTAACCCAATTTCATCAAAATGAAATAAATGTGGAAACATTCATTTAGTGTTCTGCGAAATCAAATAGTTGTGCTAGTTACATATCATTTTCTCATATGTCTTTACTTGATATATATTTGTATTACAGAAACACTCATGAAATCATAACCATACGTGACTATGTATACATGTAACAGCAGATAATCCATCATGGTTGTGGTGTGGAGTGGTGAGCTGGTACATACCGTCAAAATGCAGCATGTGACCCTTTAACGTATGTGACTGCATATGTAGTGTGGTACAAACATAAGCTGGTGAGATGCTTTATGGGTATACAAACACTTATCTTGTTTGCCTACAGGCAGTATAACTCAAGTAGCTGGTGATCTAGAGATACTAATCTGACTTTCATGTCAATAATGACACAATCGTTTTTGTGCTTTAAGAATGAGACAGATTGCTAAAACAGCATAACTGATCAAACAGAGATTTCTGGTGCACTTTGCAGTTACAGCTTGGAACAGTCGATATGAAACTACAAAATAATATATTACATTCAGGTATTTTGAAATATAATAAAACTGAAGGCTTAAATTCACATTAGAGTAAACCGCCTTGTGAATTTCACTGCAGTCATTGAAACAGGGAGTCAAAAGGATTTTCGCGAATTTTAATAAATTGTAATTGAATATTAACCAAAAGTAGATGCATATAACTACAAAATGTATGCATGTACAAATATCCCCAGGTTAAATTATTACCAAAGGGTTCAAGAATATATTTCTTTAGTTTGTTAATAAATAAGAATGCATGCTTCATCATATTATCTTGTTTCACACATAAAAATGAACATGACTGAACATGAATAATAAAATGAATAAAGTCTGTGTCATTATTAGCATTGATTGTCTGTCTTTAATAGTAAGATCACCTTGGAAGTCCTTCGACTCCTTGCATTACATATTATCTATTATGGCATTTGTGTACTAGTAGTGACAACCAAACTGTGTTCAGCAAGATACATTACAACAAATCAATAATGCAGCACGAATACAACAATAGAATTACATTTTGAAAGAGGTGATCCGCAACCAGTAAACAGGTTTACAGCCAAGAGTTCATTTTATTTTAAATAAAAAAATCTGTGTTTATTACAATCAATGAGATTTTAAATTTTGAAATTATCCAAATTGATTTTTTTTTGGCCTGAACTGGGAATTACAAACAACATTGAATATTATATTAAACATATTGTTAACTGATCCCTTATGGAAAGCAGCTGTAGTTGAACTAAGGCTATGTATTTCAATAAATAGATGTAAAAACAAACAATGGAAGTTTAACGAATTCACTATTGTTGGTGAAACGCTCTTTTCTTGTCAATTGTTAAGACAATTTAAGGTTGATGAACCAACCAATTACTGAATGGTGTCATTGTGGCTTTTAAAACAGTTCGACCATTAATGAAAAGCCCTACACGGGTATAGTCTGTTTACTGTTGCTAACAGGGTTGCTAGGAGCATTGTTTGCAAGACATAAAAGATTTTGTTGGCAAGAATGAGGATTTTAGTGACCCTAAACAATGAAATGTAACCCGTGGATCAAAAGAGTGTCATGATTGAACACAGTTATATGAGAGTATGTTTGTAGCTAACAATCACAACTGTTATGGCAAAACATAAAACCTGAACAAATATTTCATGTCACATACATTTTAAAAATTGATTTTTCAATGCTTAACAATTTAGCAACTGTTAGCTGGAATTAATTACAATTTGTAAAATTTCAATTATAATTTTTCTAAAAATAACAATTGTTAATAAGATAAATAAATAAATCCTATAAGATTGTCAAACCAGCAGTTGGTTTAAATTGCCATGGAAACGAGTAAATCAGCTTCAGTAACTGAGCAGCATATCAAGTACAACATAAAAGAGACTATATTCTGACAAATTAACCTTGAAAGTAAACAATCTGTTTACTCTGCATAAACAAGGCAAAATGGTTCTTTTAAAAAACACAAACTACATTTAAAATATCTTTATTCTGTCATTGAAATACCAATCTGCTTTTAGTGAAATATTAATTTGTTCATCATTATCTTATTTTGAAAATGATTAGTATTATTTGCTTCTTATGTAATATACTGTGAGCTATCAATCAATGAATTTTATTAAAAAGTTTCTGGTAGGAACATATATAGCATTGCTGAGATTAAATTAAATGAAAATCACGGTGACTAAAGAACACTAGAGAAATGAAAATCACGGTGACCAAAGAACACCAGAGAAATGAAAATCATGGTGACTAAAGAACACCAGAGAAATGATATAATCACGGTGACTAAAGAACACCAGAGAAATGAAAATCACATTGACCAAAGAACACCAGAGAAATGAAAATCATGGTGACTAAAGAACACCAGAGAAATGAAAATTGTGGTGACTAAAGAACACCAGAGAAATGAAAATCACATTGACCAAAGAACACCAGAGAAATGAAAATCATGGTGACTAAAGAACGCCAGAGAAATGAAAATCACATTGACCAAAGAACACCAGAGAAATGAAAATCATGGTGACTAAAGAATACCAGAAAAATGAAAATCACGGTGACTAAAGAACACCAGAGAAATGAAAATCACATTGACCAAAGAACACCAGAGAAATGAAAATCACATTGACCAAAGAACACCTGAGAAATGAAAATTACGGTGACTAAAGAACACCAGAGAAATGAAAATCACATTGACCAAAGAACACCAGAGAAATGAAAATCATGGTGACTAAAGAATACCAGAGAAATGAAAATCACGGTGACTAAAGAACACCAGAGAAATGAAAATCACATTGACCAAAGAACACCAGAGAA